GCATTGCATAGGCCAAAGGTCATAACTGTTGGTTCATACAGTCCCTTGTGTGTTACGACTGACTGTCGAGCGAGTAAGTGGAGACGAGCGAGGCAGGCAGGAGCGCCGACGAGCTCTGATCGCAGTGAGACTGGAGCGGAGCTCAACAGGCAGGACTGGAGACAAGTTGTGTATTGAGCGAAGTATCTACAGAGCGAAATACACGATGGCTTACCTGGAGACAAGAGGTCGAAACTAGAGTCTCCAGGTAGCAAGGGATCCAGCTATATACAGGGAACGAACAATGGGCGCTAGAGAACAATAGCGTCGCCATAGGTACGAAGTACAAGGGGTGTAGGACAATAGCGGGCGTGGGGACAAAGGGAGCTATTGTCCGTGTGCGGACAACGGGAAACCATAGCGAGTAGTGAACAATAAGGAAACGTACGGGGCAATGGTCCGAATCAAAAAGGAAACGTAGCGCCGTGAGGGCGGTTCGTGACAGTACCCCCCTCCAAAGGATCGTGTCCTCACGATCGAGGCTTTGAAGGAAACTTGGCGTAGAATTTCTTGACCAGCTGAGGGGCGTGCACTAGGTTTTCCGCCAGTTCCCAGCTGTTGTGCTCGTTACCCCAGCCTTTCCAGTGAACGAGGTACTGGAGTTTCTTCCATCGGCTGAAGCGTCTCGAATCGATGACTTCGTCAACCTCGTATTCTTCCTCCCCCTCCACTTCAAGAGGGGCTGGCTCGGGTGGATGACGGCCTGGGAAATCACTGTGCTGGTGGGGTGTGAGGAGTGAGACATGGAAGACGGGGTGGATTTGCATGTCCTTGGGGAGCACCAGCTCGTAGGCCAGTGGTGCGACCTGTTTCTTGACCACATACGGTCCAGCCAGCCGATCTACGAGTTTTCGCGGCATCCCCGTGATGCGCAGATTGCGGGTGTCGAGCCAGACCTTCTGTCCAGCTACGATGGTCGGTAGCTCTCGAACGTGTTTGTCAAAGTGCTCCTTCATCCGTTCGGCTGCCAGACCCAGTGCTGCAGTTGCGTCTTCCCGTGCCTTTCGTAGTTCCTCTCGCCGTTCGTCTGCCGCTGGTACTTCCGTGTCGAGAACCGGAATGTGAAACTCTGGGTCGTATCCGTACATCAGGAAGAAGGGCGAGTACCCAGTGGCCGAGTGAACCCGTGAGTTAAAGGCAAACTCCGCAATTGGTAGCCAGTGGACCCAATCGTCTAGTCGCAGAGAACAGAACATGCGGAGGTAGGCTTCCAGCTCCTGGTTCCAGCGTTCGGACTGACCGTCGTTCTGAGGGTGGTATGCCGACGATAGTGCGCTCTCGATGCCGAGACCCTTAAGGACCGCACGAAACAACTTGCTTGAGAACTGCGGTCCTCGGTCTGAGATGATCTTTCGCGGAACGCCGTGGAGTCGTACGTGATCGCGGATAAGGTTCCAAGCAGCTCCTTCAGCGTCGACCTCCTCATCTGTTGCAGCAAAGTGTACCATCTTGCTGTGTCGGTCCGCCATGACCTGAATGGCGTCGTACTCGACTCCGGCCACGGTGACCTTGGGAAGTCCAATGATGAAGTCCGTCGTCATGATGCGCATCGGACTCTCCGGGATTTCGTTCGGCTGCAGCGGTCCGTAGGGTTTCGTGCGCGACGTCTTCCCTCGATGGCAGGTGTCGCAAGTCCGTACGTAGTCCTTCACGAATTGGGCCATGCCATACCAGTGATAGTTGCGCGACAGCAGCTCGACCGTCTTCCAAACTCCGGGGTGTCCTGCCAGAGGAGAGTCGTGGTAAAGCCGTACCAGCTCGGTCCGCAGCTCCTGAT